TGATGAGGATCGTAATTGATCGAAATCGATTTGGAATTCCGCTACATTTTTACAAGTGACTTTTTATATACCATTTTACACGTTTTTACAATTCTTGTATTCGTTTTATAGTAGTTTTTAGTGCGTCGAACGTGAATACGAGACGTTATGTCTAGCAAACTGACTCAAGGTTCTAGAATGTCTGATGAACAATGACTGGTTCGAAACTTGTCTGGACTTTGTCTGGCGCCGAGTTGCATTACGAAATCTTATGACCGTTATCTTGGGAATAGCTCCACATAATTTTTCCGGAATTTCTCTACGCGAAACAAAACATGGATACAACAATGTATATTAAGTTTTTTGACATTGGAACCATGTAAGTCGAATGATGAGGTTCGCGTCAGATATCAGCTGCCTGTTGGCCTCCGGATAAGAAGTTGATAACTATTGTCTTTTTCTTTATAATGCTTTCCATGTCTATTTGAATAACTTGCGTGAAGATTGGACAAAATAGGAATAGCGTTATGTGTGAAATAAATAGAATTAAGGTGAACTGTACCAATAATTTGATGCAATAATTTGTGAATTTTGAGTCATATTCATCCTTAGACCCGCCAACAATTCAGATGGCCATCGCTTCATCTCTTACGTCCTGGGTTGGTCAGACGGTGACCTTAAAGTGTCAGTCAGATGGTGTTCCTAAACCACCACTCACCTGGTACCAACCTGATGGAAGTGAAATAAAAAGAGACACGAATAAAGAAATTACAATTCAGGTGACATTGAACGACAGTGGTGATTTCGGTGATTACAAGTGCGTTGCTGAAAATGGTCTAACTCCTCATGATGAGGAGGTTGTGAAGATAAATCAGATAAGTAAGTTAAATTAAAGTGATACTATGGTGAACCCGTGATATACTGTGCGGAAAATAATTCTTTATTTCGTCAAGTTTAACGTAGGAAACAAAACTTGATGTTTAAGCCTACCCGGCCTAAAAATGAGTAGGTTCCGAAGAGGGAATTGTCTGCAGGTCAAATTCTGATTAACGGGCCATTCCATGATACATGTCCGGCACTAGATTAGCCTTCATCCCCACTTAATAAAAGTCCTCCCCAACTGATCCACCATAATTGACAATCAGTCAACCATCTTTGGTAAGATGCATGCTCGCTCTAGACTCCTAGGCCAAGCTACAAAATGCCCACTACACCCGTTCCTATGCTTCGCATATCTGCAAGTAGAATACATTAACTAATAGCTTAAGAGAAAAAGAAGAAATTGTTGAGTCAGCATTTTCAGATGCTCGTTCGCTTTTTCCGTTTTGACTGATAAAGGCCCTTTACATATAATTGCGAACCTCTACTTGTGTGATACTTATTCGTAAGAATTACGGATTTATGATACTTTAGGAACACTACCTACAGTAACCTAGATCACCTTTCATACTAACTTTTTCCGTTACCTTTGGAATATATGAAACGCATTACCGAACATTTGTTAGTGAGGGACAATTGGTTCAGCACGTTTCTCTGGGTCCAGGATCAGCTTTTTCAACTGGCTGTTCTAGTTTCCTCTTTCACTGATCAGAATTCCCGCTCATTCTACTGCTTATTAAATAACGATGACCTAATTTCTCACGTCTTTCCCAAAGGCAAGAATCTCATCAATAGAAGCGATCAGGAGGAAGGTTATTAGCCACAAATATTTTTGTGATCTTTTTATGCAGAAAAACCCAGCCGGGCATCCATCATATCAACAGAAGCAGATGTTCACGCCAATTCATTAACAGTAAGGTGGACTGCAACAGCTGATGATGGGGGGAGTCCTATCACAGCATACCGAGTGATCATACTAAAGAGTGACACCAAGAAAGGCAGTGCTAATATTACTGGTCTTCCTAAAACAAATCACACTTTTACGGGTCTGGAGAGAGAAACAAACTACACGGTGAAAGTGTTTGCCAGAAATTATGTATTTGAAGGAGATGCTGCTGTAAAGACATTAAAGACAAAGTTTGAAGGTGAGGAATGGCTATTCCATAGTACATATTTCTGTTATAGCGCAACTGAGCACTTCAACTCTTCATTTTGTTTCTAACTGAGAAACAAGAGTGTCGCTCTTTATGGTAAAATAATACGTATATTTTCGATTTATATGGAGTGGTATGAATAGCTTTCTCAGATTTTAATCGTCTTTCTATTTTCTTTCTAATTCCATCAAGATATAGCGTATAAATTGATTTATCTGTACTGCAACTTATTCCTTTGGGTTCGAATTCCTCCCATCGTAGCCGGTAGAACTGGGATACATAACTGAGCGCAACGAACGAGTGAGATATCGATTTAAACACGCGATGTGAAGTTCCAGAACTAAAAGCAACCATGTATATATTACTGTATAAACACAATAGGGCTTTACGGTCAAGAGGGAAATACTTCATTTATGAATGAAAAAAAAAAAAAGAATCCCTAATCCGCGAAAAAAAGTCGAAAAATGTGCCGATGATAAGGTCCAAAATGAAAAAAATCTGTTGAATCATTACAAATTATGCTAAACAGTAGGCGAAACTTTCAGTTATCAAATTCTCAGTTACTGACTTTTTTATCACCGCCAGGGAAAATTATTTCAGGTACACAGCCAAAATCGGCCTGTGGCAAATCTTCCAGTTGTCGATTTTCTTTCTCATTTGAGAGAAATGCCATTACCAAATCCAAGCACTTAACTTTCGGGTTTTTCTTTTTATGTTTCGGTTTTCTTCTTTTCTAGGACACTTTGAACGTCACTGTCGGTAAGCGATGCGAATTATTCAGGGCTGGAAATCCTTGTATGACACCTCAAATATATGTTAATACAACATACCAGAGATAATGAGACTTGATACTTTGCATATCTAGAGAAGATCGGGCGTTCCTTAAATTAAAGCAACATTTACTGCACAAGTTGCGTTTTTACTGATTGTTCTAGGGCCCCCGGAGGTAGTGAAAATAGACGAGCTTCCCATTGAAACAAAAGGCGATACAATTACCCTGAAGTGGAAGGAGCCAGGAAATAATGGTAAAGTTATCTCCCAGTACACTGTGTACCAAAGGATGGCGACTGGTGGGAAGGTGGGAGACTGGAAAGAAATAGGGAAAATCACGGATGTGAAAGACAGAGAGTTAGAAGTTAAGCTAAACAAAGGAGAGGTGTATGAATTCGCCATTACTGCTACCAACGTCTTGGGTGAAGGCTTGAAACAAGATGCATCAAATATCAAGAGAGTTAAAGCAATAGGTAAACTTCTAAGTTATTAGCATTTATCCTTCTTTTGTTGATATTTAGAGGTGAGATAAATATTACGTCTAAAACTTGCTGAGACACTGACATAGAAATCGTTTCCATGTTTTGATGAAGGCTAGGTCATTGACGTGTCATTTCTCATTTCTAATTTTACCCAATAGACATGTTCGTGGTTTTTGCAGGGTTTGAAACAACTAGTTGGTTGATAATAGTAAGAAAAGGTTTAACTGTTCGTGTTATTATGGTTTATTAAGGGATCCCGGCAACAGTAGAAATATATGGCCTGCCCAGTGAAACCACAGAAGATTCAATAACTCTGAGATGGAAGGAGCCAAAAGACAATGGCCAGAAAATAACACAATACATTGTTTACCAGAGAACAATGGCTGATGGGACACCAGGAGAGTGGAATATATTAAAGGAAATCTCAGATGTTAAAGTCAGAGAATTCAGAGTAAAGCTAAAGAGAGGAAAAGTGTATCAATTTGCAGTAACTGCAACTAATGGTGTTGGTGAAAGCCTAATACCAGATGAAAGAAACGTTCCGGAAATCAAGGCATTAGGAAGTATGTTTAAATGAATCTCATTTTCCCCAGTCAACGATTGCAATCCTTTCCTTTACTTAATTTTTGATTACCTCTTTCTCACCAACATAGATTTTTTATAGCCTTTGTATGTGTGTGTGTGTGTGTGCGGGTGTAGGTACGTAAACTTTTTTCCCCTCAAAGCATGGATCGATAAGGAAGATATCACTGACTGTTTGATTTACATAGAGAATATTATATTGTTTCGCGTAAACAGGAATGCATTGATAACACACGATATAAGAAATACCACTTCTAAAGACATACTCATTGGCTCAAAATACTTTCCCATATTTAAATTGGGCAGGGACTTCATCAGCCAATCAATTTACAGCTTGCAGTCAGTTGCTGATTAGATGAGAGAGACAACATATTTCACTATACCGTATTTTCTCGATCAAACATAGGACCCTATGAAACTTCGGCCGCGTTATCTTCGTTTCACGGTATTTCACTCTCATATCTGCTGCCTGTTATCGGCTAAGAATTTACGGTACACGATTCATTTTGTCGGCTCGCTACAAATTCGCTAACTTTTGGTCAGTTCTGAATTTATTTTCTATGTTCTCAGTGAAGTACGCAATTCCTTTAAAGCTTGCGTGGCGCACTTCTCCAGCATTTAGCATAATAAGTCAAATATCCGGAAAGACTGAAAATAGGAAGCAATCGAGAGACTTATTTACATGTGAAGTACATAAAAACTCGATATCAGATTTCAGTTTGTTGGTGGCTTTCTGTGCCCATACATTTGACGGCAGCTGAGCGTCTAAAGCGGAGGAAAGCTCAAAATAACACTCTCACTGCGACTTCATTAGCATTCAAAATCGTAAATTTTGGTGCTCTTGATATGAGCCATACAATTAACCCTCTCTCTCTCTTCCTTCCATTCAACCCGTTTCGCGTCTTTCTAGAAATCCCGCTTTTTCTTGCTATCGATGCACGAGACAAACAAAAAGCTCTCTGCAACTTCATCAACAGTCAATATTGGAATCAATTTTAGCGCTATTGTCAATAGAGCTGAAAAGTCATATTCAAGTTTTCCTGCCTTTGCCGCGTCGTTTGGAAAACTACGCTCTTTTGTTCTACTGTCGTCAAGCTAAGAAACCCTTCTCCGAGACGTAATCGACATCCAAAATCACAAACTTTCGCTCTCTCGTCGATCGAAGCCCTCTTTTTTCTCGAGCTATAACTCGAATTTATTGTTTCGAAATTGGCCCCCTTCTAACCTGTTGTTCTCTTCTGAAAGGTCTACAAATTATAATGCTAATGTATTTCATATATTGTTATAATGCTAATGTATTTCACAAGCATTATAATAATGACCAATAAGCATTATAATAATAAAAACCATCGCCAGACCAAAAAATGGGATGATGAGTGCAGCCATTTCTAAACCGTGTTCATTTTCGTTATTGGAGTGTTTCAACAGCGGTTTGTCTCGCTGAAAGTTCTTCTACATTTGTGTTTTGTGTTATCGTTATTAAAGAAAGATTCTTACATCTGTTGCTTTGTTAAGTTTCAGGAAACAGAGAAGTTTACTTAACAGCGACCATAAATGAGAATTGTAGCAGACGTTTATTTGTTGCAGCCAAATTTCCAAATGTGGTGAGTCGTTTATTTAGTCCGTCGAATGTTTGTGTTTGATGATATTAAAATGAGATGATGAATAAAGAAATCAATAAATAGAGGAATTGGAAAAAAACCAACCAGCACAAATATAAATGAATTGATTGATTGAATAAATGAATAAATGAATATGTAAGTTGGAAGATGGCTGAGTAGAGGGATAGACGGAGGGAAGGAAAGATGGATGGGTGGATTGAAAAAGGAATGAATAAATGAGATGAATGAATGAATGAGCTAATAAATGATCATGAATGGCAATGCGGCTCTATATCTTAACTTCATTATTGTAATATACTTCCTGTTTTATACTTACT